TAGGTTGTGATACTATAAAAAATGCTACTACAAAGATCCAATCACATTAAAAACAACTATTACCACCAAAGATGAGTAGGAAAGAAAATGAACAAAATTTCATTAGCAATAAAAACAGTAACCAGGAATTGATATACTTAGTACCAACTTAAGGCAAAAGTGAATAACTTTAGAAACTTGTCAAATTTCACTGAAAGTAAATAACACATTTCAAAGCCACCCAAAAACTAAAATAGTATGGATAAACATCCATAAGGTAAGGACCTAATAAAACACTATAAGCAAGCTTAGACTAGCAAAGGCTTTTTGTATAATATATATTTAAAACTGGACCTACCTGTGAGAAATTAACTATAACCGGAAGAATATGTGCCACACAATCTTGAGGCTCCAGGTGCTTCCCAAGAGCTGCACAATCTTCAACAGCCAATAATCGCACAGAATCTTGATCTGAAATAGAAAAAATGACCTTCTTAGCTGGGTAATATTCGTAAAGAACAGATTTATTTGTTTACACTGATATTTTATTCATAGCGAGAATGGTCCAATAAGCAACCACAGGCACAATGACTGCATTACCTTAAGAGTATATCAGTATATTAGCCAACAAATTCATTGATCCATTAGACCTCCAAACTAATGGTAAACATTGAAAAGGGCCAGACATAGGTACTCATTGTATTTACGTCCAAATATCAACTATTGGCGGTCACTTTCAAATACAAAGTCAAACATGGCTCCAACTGTATAAACTTTTTGTTAAGATAAAAATCAAAGTCAGATTACTGAAGCATGTTACACCGGCATAGGATTTGATGGGCAGTTATTTTTTCCTTAAGAGTATGTCATACTTCAAATAACGATAAGAGCAAAGAAAAGAGAGAAGGAAAAGCGGCACATACAACTAAACCAAAGAAACAAATTTTATTGTTAAATGGCAAGTGTGTCACAATCAAATTAGCATCTATCTGATAGAAAAGTTGTAGATAAAAAAATACCATCTTGAGTCAGATCCTCAACATTGACATTATGTCAGTCTTCAAATGAGCTGGTTCAACGGTAGCAGCAAACTTTCCTAGATTTGTTGCAGCTGCTCTCCTCACCATGGGCATGTCATCTTGACACAACTGACTGTATATAGTCCTTAATTCATTTCTCAATGTCTCTGAGGCTGAGGGATAAGCAATATGGAACAATCCACAAGAAGAAACTCGAGCTGTAAACCACTCACCTGCAGCTAGTCTCTATATGCGGAATTATATCAGCAAAGGTATATCATATATCATTTTGATTACATATGCTCAAATTTTTCATACATATAAGTTAATATGACTACATGGTAAAAGTATACAAAGAAAATAAAAATAAAGAAATTCAAGCAACAGAGAAGCTACATACTGTGTGGTAAAACTAAAAGGAAAACTCAAATAAGCTTTATTTAGCGGATGCTACATGGCAACAAAAACGTGTAAAAGCAAAATGCCGAACAATTTCACATGACACATGCAGAAAACAGGTGTGCCATCCAACGTTCACGACATCCACAACTGCAAGTCTCTGAAAACTCAGCAGGCACTAAGAGGATAAGAACAGACTACTGTTCACTCTGCACCAAGTTTCAAGGAAGCAAATGCTTTAACACATCAAACCATGAGATTACCTCAGTTTGCATTTTTTGGTCATCAGAAGCTCCAAAATAACTAAATTTTCCAGAATCTATGCTTTAGTTAATTTTTTTCCTCGTAAGTAAAACTATATTATCGATTACCCAGTTTGTCATCACACAGTCTAAGGTAAGCAAAATATGAAAGTATTATAACGATATCCATCCACAGAACTACACAATCTGAAGTAGATTGCCTACTCAAATAAACCTATCAGTATCATCATCCAATTTTATTAAGTAACTTCTAATATTGAGGGAGAGATAACCATGACTAATTGGTAGCCAAGAAACCATTATTCATATTCAAATACTAAATAAACACATTTCAGCACCTACTATCCATGCTTATCAGTGGGCAGTGGGCAGAGGACAGTGCAATAGCTTTCATATCAGCTTACACCCAAAGATAAATACCCAATATAGCATAACGTTCATTGAAGTAAATTTTAACTTCAATTCTAGTTAGAAAATGTAAATGAGTCAAGTTAAAACAGTTCAAGTGGCACTATATCAGTTTCGTTCATTCGAAGCTATGTTAAACATGATCCATCAAGTGTACATTCTATGCAGCAAAGAAATGGTAATGTATCCGTACATAACATCCCGAACTTATACAAGTGAGAAGAATCTCGAATGCAGTACTTCACATTTCAAACACTCCAAGTAACGCTCACTCCAACATCTCTCTATGAACCTGAGAATAAATCTAATATAATCTCTTCTATGTCTCCCCCAGCACACGAATAACATGATCTAAAACGCCATTGCTGATATCTGTCCAAGTTATAATTGTAAACCGGTCATGTGTTAAAGATTTTGTATGCACCATCTCCAGATGCTAAATGCATTAAATTACCAGATACATGGCAACTTTTCATGCATGTAGGAAATAAATGCTCATTAACTAGCACTTGCAAACCAACCAAAATACTAAACTGAAGGACAACGGAACATTTTAATGCACATATCAAAGAAATATGTATTTCATTAACACTCAAATGAGTCCAAATTAAGCCGTGATGCTTGCAAAATCAGCTGATACTATACACCTCACTTTCTATTTCCTACCTTCAATTTGCAGTGCATCATATTAATCTGTCAAACAACAAATCACATTTTACCCAGCCAAATCACATTCAGAATCTATGCCTATCAACCAAATTTGCAGCTTTTTAAATCTTATGGTGCTAACATTAACTTTTCCAAGCACAATTCCTCCTAGCTCAAATTTCGCGAGCAACAAATAGGAAGAATCCAAATCTATCCTTTTTTTTTTTCCTCTTTTGATAAAAAAGAGATACTTGATCGGAGCTTACCTTCACGAGAGGAATAAAAAACTCGAGCAAATCAGCTTCCCTCATTTGAGATCCAATTCGACACAAAGATTCCACAGCTTTATCCCTGACACATGTCTCTTCAACGCTACAAAGCCCTTCCAGAGGCGGAAGCAACACATTAGCATGCTCCACACCGCCAACGTAGGGTACAAAAACTCCTAATTCTTCCGCCATGGCCAGCAACACCTCGTCGTCATCGTCATTATTCTCGCTGAGAAACGGAATCAACTCTTTCCGCGTCCTCTCCTCTCCGAGGGCACGCGCAATCGTCGAGAGTCGGCGGATCGAGTTTAACCGGAGCTGAATGTCTTCGTTCTTCAATTCGTCGATTAATACCGCAATTGGATACAATGGCTCGTCGATCATCGCCATGGTAATTCTGATTCCAATTCCAATTCCACTTCTGTGTTGGAAATGCACAAATTGTTAACGAGATTAGATCAAAGTTTCGACTTTGGAAGAAATGAATTAGGGTTTATGGGAAACGTGAAAAGTCAAAATTGAAATTTGAAGGCTCAAAATTTTCTAATTTTTGTGAGTTTTGAACTTTTCTGGAACACAATTGGGGCTGAAGAAATGAAGAATTTTACTGAGAAGTGCTTAGGGCGTGTTTGCCTCTGTCAGGTATTTCGCGGTTTTTCCTTTTTTTTCTTTGTTTTTGTTTGAAAAGGAGACTCTGTTGCTATCCCAAAAAAAAAAAAAAAAAATTCAATCCGTTAATAATTTGATTAATAGTAATTTTATATTAATTAACCTGTCTTCATATTTTTCCGATTTTTTTGCAAAAAATTGTAAGTTAAAATTCAAAAGGCAGTTATTTAGCAGCATCTGAATTTAACTTATTTTAGCTTTAAAATATTAAAAAGTGAATAAAAAAAAAGTAACAATAAAAGCATGAGATCAGAGTTCAGAACAGGCTGCACTTGAAAATTCGAGTCAACTTTATTCCTTTGGTCTTCAACACAAGAAGACTTGAAAACTTACCATGAAATTTCTTGAAAGTAAAAAGTATTTTTTATTTGAATAAATGGTCTTCTTTAATAAAATGTTTTCCAGTGCACTTTTTAATAGTCCTTAGACTGTTTCCGCTATCCCCATTATATTTTTGACTTTCGAGCATAAATGACTTGTTCATTCTTTGTCGTAAAAGAAAACAAAATTCCAATCCATACAACATGGGAAATGTCAGTTGTTTCCGGAAAGTCTTGTATCCAAACAGCACAGGAAGCTTCGCATGTCAATTGTTTTAGACGGTCAATAATCTACAAGTTGTCTTCTGTTATCGTTTGGGAAAAAAAAAAATCTACCATTTGTCTTGTAAGTCAAATATATCCTACATTTGCATCAATCAAAGAGCCTTTTGTCTCAAATTGTCACATATCAAAATTAACTGGTTATTATCAAAAACACAAGACTACAAAAATAGCTTGTCCGTGAGGTGTGACTACATCTCCTTCCATAGCCATTTGACATCACAAAAGCTCAATCATTTCTCGCCTAAGGTGAAATGATGTATTGTAACGTTTTTTAGAATTGCTATTTTTTCGCTCCGTTTGGATTATTATTTTTAAAAATTTTTTTTAGAAAAATGTAATATAACGATTTGACGTATATGAAATAAAAAGGTAATTAAAAAATATATTCACAAAAACGTAAAATTTTTCCCCCAAAAAATCACAATCGAAAACAAGGTTGAGCAAGGAAGACAAATACACTGACGTGCAGTTGCGATCGTTCTTATGAATACATTCTTTGTGGCTGGTCATTTTTTCTTGGCATCCACAATTGAGTTTATGCATCTTTTAAGACATAATAATCTCCTTCCACATTCTCCTAATTTTAGCATAGAAAATTTTGAGCCATTAACCAAAGCAGGATGAAGATTAAATCATTTGTGCCCACTTTCCCTCTCAAATAAACTGATCAGTTCTTTAAGCATAGTTCTGCAAGCAAGGACTCGTAGGATTTGCTTTTGTAAATGTAGGGCTAATATTCCACAAAGCAAATAACTCGGACCATATTTCATTGTGAGAACTTAGAATGGAGCTTCTGAAAAGAAAAGCTAAAGAAGAACGAAGGTAAAAGGATTCAAAATGAAGCTTTTTACTAGACAAATTTCCTTCAGTGCTACCACATTTCTTCAAACCAAGATCCAGTTCCCGGTTGGTCAGTTCCATTTCACCACAATGGTAGGCACTATGAAATTCTACCAACTACTCTATATAAGGCATCAACATATTGTTGTTTTCAAAGGATGCTAGCCTCTACTCAAATGTTGCTATATGGTGGTGTTTACTATGATTTGTTATTGACTGTAATAGTCGCAGTTCAATTCATTGCATCTCTGTTTGAGCGCTACAAACATCTGCATAATCTGGTCCATAAGCCCACTTCTTCAGCTGCTGCTTCTGACGAGTTGACAGGCTCCCTGAACTTTGCTTTCTCGCTTAACTCTTCAAATGAGTCAACAAGATTTTGAAGCCTAGCTACGAATTCAATGAGAAGAGACGCAAATGTTGCTAAAGACAAGGCACTGGCACTTTCGTACGTCTTTGATTCATCATTTTCAGGTATTTGATTTGCTTCAGGCAACACAGCTATAGGCCGTGACTTCTGTTTCTCAGTTTCATTCTCTGATGTAACTGCTGCAGGAGGGTTGAAGTTAACATTTGCGTTAAAATTCCTGTCATCCCAACTTTTCGAGAGATGAAGTGCTCTTATGTCAATAGCTGTTTCATGGAAGTTATTATTTCCATTTAAATAGTTTCCATCATCAGTCATATCCAGAGATTCCTGTGGAACCTTTATTCCCTCAGGTTTTCCGATTTCCCAGCTTTCTGAATTGACAAGGAGGTAAGATTTTCGATCGACCTTTTTCTGCAACTCTTCCGCAGCCTCATGCACCTCATACAGCATATCATGTGAACCCAGTTTCTCCATATTTTTCACCTTCTGGCCAAGCTCCCGCAACACTTTTGCACTGGCTGTACTAACCCTCTGGAGTTCATTGCGAAACACCTGTCTTCTTTCGGCAGGAGCCTAGAAACAAGACAATAAAATCTTAAGTTGTGCACTCTTTAGCATTAAAAAAGATTGTAAATTTATCAACTAATGTAAGAAAAGTGACACAATATGGTCAGACAATTATGATTGCTTACCACGGTCATAATATAACTTGGGGTGATTAAAGGTTACACATGTTTCTCTGATATATTTCACCCACGCAAATATAGAAATTATGTCAGTTCAAATCAGACTGCCAGAAAGCATAATGTTTGGCACTTGATTTAGAAGATAAAAGAAAACTTGATAGCGAGGGGGCATTAGATGAGGTTTACTTTTTGGTCAAAATCTGTCTATGACAGAACGTCTGAAATATCTTTTTGTTGGAGGCAAGTGAAATTACTATAGAAATCATCAAAGCCACTTGTGTTACACTAGAAAAAATCATCCAACACATGCATAAATTAGAACAGCGCTGAAGATATGTAAGCATAACATTACCTGTATCTCTGAAAGTACACATCCATGTAATGCCATGACCATGAATGCACAATGCCTTAAAGCACCACTGACTTTCACATAGTTTCGCCATGGATAGTTGAACATTTTGTAACGACCATGAGGTGGCTCCCAGACGGCAAAACTCACCTAAAACCATAACATTTTTAAGTCAGAAAAATAAACTAATTTATCTTGCAGGTAATCAACCCATGTAGGTCAACAAAAAGAAAGCTTGCCAGAGCATCCTCCTGGCTCGTGGATTCCATGGCTGATCTGTATCCACTGTACACTGGATCATCCGATGCTTGGTAAGTAAGAATTTTTGAAGGGACCCTTTCATATTCAACGCAGTTAAGGTATCCACTGATGCAACCTAAAAGGATGTTTTGCAAAGCAACCTTAGCATGCAGTCATACAGAATACATAACAAAACCTGAAGAAGTAATGGATGTAATTTGCAAAATCAGCTAACCTTCCAAGGAATTAGCAACACTAGTGAAATTTTTGGCAACCAAATTGTGAAGATCCTCACCAGCCCAGATGGGATGAATACATATATTCACTGCCAAAGAAACACTGGCACCTAAAGCAATGAGCACAAACCGGGTGACTGCTGTATCTATGAAATTTTTCGTCCGATACCCAGACACCATTACAAAACAATATGTTATCAGGAATACTCGAAATCCATATTCATAGGGCTTCATTGTGGGATAGAACTTTGCATAGGTGATGCAAAAACCTAAACACAACAAGAACATCATAATCAGTTCAGTTATAAACCAAAAGGAAAGCAACGTTACACTAGGTTGGAACACTGACCCGAATATCAGACCTGTGATTAATATCCCAAAGATTACAGTAACTTCTTCCCATTCTCCGGCCAGTTTGGACAATTCTCCCATTGCAAGGGCCAGCCCTCCTGCTGACAGTGTCCCTAATCCACGATTAAATCCTTTGCTCAGAGTGGCTCCTGCAATAAAAGGAAAACAAAGAAAATTCATCAACCCAACAATCAGGAGATCGAAAAGGCTGAGAAAGGAAAAATTTTATGATGTAGAATACCAAGATTCATGACAAGGTGGAATTTATATTGTTAGATGCTATTCAGAATTAGCGTGGCGGTTCCTCAAGAGCACATAAAATGAAGTAACTCAACCAACTCTAAACCAGACTGTCACCACCGCGCACTCTTAACTCTTGGATTTGCTTAGCTTACGGATACTAGAGAATGATAAGTAACTGTTACTCCATATTATAGCAACTTATACATGCCTAAATGCCTCGAGACTTTCTAAATCAAAATATAATTTGAACGCAAGTGTTTCTTACTTCTTCCCCCACAACTTAGACAACAATAAATTGCTGGAATTCTTTAGGCCATGAATTCAAAATGATCACTAAAATTACACTCTTGGCTGATTTCCACCATATTTTAAGAGCCTACAGATTCCAAACTCCTCGCTGCTGTCAAACTTCATCATCTGAAAAGATATCTTTCACACCTTCCACTGAAGTCCTCACAACCATGATAATAAACCTCACAGAACACTGAAAATTAAGGCCTTCCCCACCGACACTTCTCTAGGTATCTCTGTAGCAACCATGGCAACAAACATAGTCTAAACAAAAAAAAAAAAAAAAAAAAATCCAGAAAAACCCCACAAAAATTCAAAGAAATTTTAAAAAATAAAGATTTAAAAAAAAAACTGAACAGAGAATGTCTGAAAAGCATTCGTACCTATACTGAACTCAAAGACAACAACAACGGTTAAAATAGCCCAAACAGAGTATCTGTAAGATCTTTCATGGCAGCTGGCTGCTTCAAGAAAATCAACAAAGATATAAGCATCATAGCCAATCCCATCTTTGCAGAGAATACAACCACTCTGGGGTCGGCTTTTCCCGTGTCCCATGCCCTGATAGCCACATCATCAATTTTTTCCATAACTCCAGAACTTGTCTTTCATTGACGAACAACATCCACAACGCAAACCGTTCCTCAGCCTCATCAATCCAAGAACGTGAGAATCGAGGCAGCTCCGAAAAATCTCCTGACCTATGTGATGATAAAAGCCTCTCCCTTTCTCTTTTCTCAGCAAAACTCTGCCTAAACGAGCCCGTTCTTCCTACCATTCTTCTTCCTGTTATTTCAAGAATGAATTCTTCTTTTCTTTGTTTATTACACATTAGTGCATGTACGATGCAGATGGGAAAAGAGGAATGAAGGAAGGAAGGGGAGGAAGAGATTTCGAAGAGGAAAAGGTTTTGGGAGTCGTGGAGAGGCCTGGCTCTTCTGCTCTTGACACTTCTTGCGGGAGAATCTGACGGAATCAGGAGAGTCTTTTTATCTGTTGGGCGTCTAAGGGATGACGTCGTTTGACAAAACTTAGGGGTGAGCCAATTTAGATCTAAAAAGAAGGCCAATCGTGTTCGTACAAGTGGGATGTGTGGGGTTCGTGGTAGGGCCAGGTGCAATGTGACTTCTGAATTTATTTATTTTTCTTTTGAGGGTTGAGTAATGGTCAATGAACTGGTAAATTGGGAAGGATATGATCTGTATGGATGAGGCCGTCCTAAAGCGTAAAGGGCCGTGGAGAAAAGTTGAAGGAATTATCTTATACTGCTACTATACAGTAACAAAGGGCAAAAGTGAAAACATGTTAAACCTTTACAACGTCAACCCCCATTTAGTTACTGTGTAATGGGCCCTAGGCCCTCCAAATCACCGAAAATTATTCCAAAGGCTTGTACTTTTTTGGGTTCCATGTGTGATGTGACATCTGCGGTATTGTATTCAATTCAGAATTTGATTCATATGAACAAAGATATGAGGTAGCTATTATCAAAAAAAAAAAAAAAGATATGAGGTAGCTAGCTAACTGTGAACATATCCCATGTGTCAAAAACAATTTTTATCAAATGATTCTCACATTTTATCAAATAAATTTTTTCATCTTTCACTTTTACAATATCAATTTTACGTTTCTCATAAATCCAAATTAACAAAATTTAGTCTCAATCTAAGCTTTTCACAATTTTTTAAGCTGAAATCATAATGTGACTAATGGATCCAAACAAATAAACATACATAAATTCACAGGAACAGTAAAAAAATGATATAAAGGCAAAGAAATTTCTCTCAACTATTAATCAAATGAGGCTGCAGTCTTTTTGTTTACATACAGACAAAAAATAATAATGTGGAGGCAGTGGCGGAGTTAGAAAAAAATCTTAGTGGGGGTAAAAATAATATTAAAATTTTTTATCTACTCTTTTTCTAATTTTTAAGTAAAAAAAAATTACCAACAAGTACAAATGATATGTATATTCCATGAAAAACATAAAGGTAAACTCAAAATTATTAATGTAATAATAATTTTATTTCAAAAACAAACTAAACTATTTACAATTGTTCACGATGAGTTTTCATATTTTGATAACGGTTTACAACTTTCTCATTTTCAATTTCATGAAGTATATTTTTCTCAACATAAGTAACTAAACAATCATTCATCCAAGTGTCTTCCATTCTATTTCGTCATTACATTAACTCCAATATAAGAAACTAATCAAGGAAAATAAATATAAATTATAAATCCATAAATTCACCATTTCACATGGTAGAACATTTATCAAATAACCCATTTATTAGTTATTACATTAACTAATCAATTTTCAAATTTCTTTAAAACAGTAATAGTCTCATACTCTAGAAATATATTTGCAAACAAATTTAAATAATAATAATAAGAAATAATTGTTTAGAACCTGATTTTGATGGCCTCTTAAAGTTGGTGAAAAGAACTGCAAATCAGTGGTGGACCCAAGTTCCAGAATATCAATTGATTCTGGTCAATCTCTAAATCGGATGAAGTGATCAAGAAAGAGTAACAAGTTTTGGTTGTGGAAGAAAAATGGGCTCTCGTATGTTGGGGAGTGGGAACAAAGGAAGTAAATGATTAATGATAATTGAATGAAGTGATAAATAAAAAGAGTTGTTAGTTGGATATGGAAGAAGAGGGGCCATCTGTTGTGAAGAGAAATGGGGGACCAAAGGAGTAAATGAATCTTAGGGAGTGTAAATGGAACTTGAGAGTGGGGACCAAAAGAAATGGCTAATATGATTGATATGGCGATCAGAGGAGTAGGGTGAATGATATAAATTTTGTGACCTATTCTTTCATGATTTTTCTAAAAAAAATTCTGGGGGACACTTTTAAAATTATGTCAAAATTATAGAAGTATTATAGGAATTTAAAGGAGTAGCGGGCCCATGCCCCAGTGCCCCCTTTAAATCCGCCCTGTGTGGAGGCTTTCAACTCTTTTATATCCCAAAAATTCTTATAGGTTCAACAAATGGCCTTCTACGACTCCAAATTTTTTCAAGAGTTTTTTCAAGAATACTTTTAGTGGGACACCTGTTTAAAAAATAAATTGCACAAGGAACTGCTTCTACTTCTACCCAAAAAGATTTTGACATATTTTTCAACTTCAACATATACCTCGCTAGATTCATAATTGTCATATTCTTCTTCTCTGCCACCCCATTTTGTTTATGGAGTGTATTTAATAATCAATTGATGTTGTATCCCATTTTTTTCAAGAAAATCATCATAAACCAAATATTTCCCGACCCCTGTCTGTTCTCAAAATTTTATTCTGACAGCTACTTTGTCACTCAATAAAAGTCTTAAAATTTATAAAAGTGTCACGGGCATTAGATTTATACTTCAAAAAATACACCCAAGACTTTAAAAAAATATGTATTGATTTTTTAGTTTGAAATCATAACGTGACCCATATACAATCATCTTTATGTACATAAAAGATTAGATCCAACATTTTAAGGAGCAAAAATGAATATGGATTGTATAAAATCTCATTTTTTTTAGGGAAAAACAAATATAGTTCAGCTAAGATTCGACTAGATCGGTTCATTTACTTAATTAAAAATGAAATCTAACAATTTTCTCCAAAAAAAAAAAACTATGTATAAGTAACGTAGTAGATTCAAAAGAAAAAAAAATAGTTGAAAATCTAAAATGGAATGTAAGGGATGTAAAATTACTATTTTTAAAGTGAAGAGTGAAAAATTCATTTGACGAAATGTAAGGATGTTTTGAATTATTTTTGTTTGGAAAAATCGTTCAAAACATCTCTCATATTTTGTAAAATGATTTTTTTCATTCCTCATTTTTAAAAATGTACTTTTACATCTCTTACAAATTCACATTGGTCAAATTTGGTCATTATTTAGGTTTCCGACTAGTTTTTTTTTTTTTTGGAATCGACCACGTGCCTTGCACATAATCATTTTTTAAGGGCAAAATTGTTAAATCAAATTTTACATAATTCAATCTATAGTCCTTCACATTTTACAAAATGAATTTTTTTCTCTCACATTTTATAAAATGAATTTTTTTGTTCCTCACATTTTTACAAAATGAATTTTGTCATCTCTCATATTTTACAAAATAAAATTTTTTTATCCTTTATTGATCATGTGTACAAATAACTTTTTTAACTTATATATATTTATTTGATTTCACCTAAACAATATGAATAGTATGTAATATATCTCTATTTAATTTCGTCTGAACGTACTGTTCATTTAGATAGCCTTACTACACAACTCAGTAAATGAATTATTACCAAAAAAGAAAATGTTACAAATATTAAATAGATTCACATAGTGAAATCAAATATACATATATATATATATATAATATATATATATGTTTAAAACAAAATTGTTAGATTTAAACCAATGTATATATCTATTAAATAATATGTGTACAACTACAATTAGTCTATTTAGTTGAAATCAAATAGAGATATATTACATGCTATTCATACTGTTCAAGTGAAATCAAATAGATATATACATGGATTTGAAAATAACTATTCGCACAAATGGTCAATGAGGGATGAAAAAACTCATTTTGTGAAATATGAGGGACGAAATAATTCATTTTGTGAAATATAAAGAACTATAGATTAGATTATATAAGTTTTGATTTGATAATTTTGTCCCTAAAAAATGATTACATACAATCCACATAATAAAATTTCGACCAAAAATTAGTCGAAAATTTAGGTAGGGATCAAATTTGACCAATGTGAACTTTTAAGAGACGTAAAATTACACTTTAAAAAATGAGACACGAAAAAAATTATTTTATAAAATATGATGGACGTTTTGAACGATTTTCCCTTTTTTCTTTTTCTTTTGATACATGGACTTGATGTCCTGATTATATTGATCTCCTAGCCAATATGTAGTACTCCCTCCGTCCCACTTTGATAGTCCTGTTTCTTTTTTCACACAGTTTAAGAAAAAGTAGTTAACTTTGTTGGAAAAGTAAATTTAGATTGCTATTTTTCTAAAATACCATCACATTAAATATGGTATAACTTTATAGGAACTTGAATTGATGGTAAAAAAAGAATCAATTCTCATTAAATGGATAGATTTATAGTAACAATTACTTACATTGAATAAGGATATTTTAGAAAAATTAAAATACAACTACATTATTCAATTGGAAAGTGGACTATAATTTAGGACAAATGAAAAAGGAATACAGGATTATCAAAATGGGACGAAATAAGTATTTAAATTACTCAAATTTCGAGCAGGTGATTGTGGAGTTTTAAGAATGAAAGAGAGTAGTTGTGACAACCACACAAATTTCATGGTAGATGTGATAGTATTTGCTTTAATTGATGATTGAACCCAAACAAGAAATTTAGCAAAGTGGCTGAATAGCATGTTTCCGAGACATCATCGAGTCGTATAAGTTTAGCAGCAATTATTTTGCTTGCCTTCTTTTCACTTACACCGCAAATTTGTTTTGTGGCAACTTGCCAAAAGGTACATTATCAAGTGGCAGCAGCAGCAATCAATCAGACACTAACCCGTTTATATTTGTCAGCAAGAAAATGGAAAAAGGCCTGAGGATCTGAATTTAAATATGCTGCACAATAAGTTCCCCGACACTTGAAAATTTTTATCTGAGCATGTTACTTCATCTGTGCATTTTAATTGATTGCAACATTTTTTTTTTTTTATCAAAACGGCAACATATAATTGATTGCAACATTTGATAGTGACAAACATACATAACTTTTTCCAAGGAGACGTGTTTCTATTCTCTTTAGAAGATGGGGAAAATTTTGATGCAAAGGTAATAATAAAAGCTCAAGGAAAGCAGCATGTGAAGTGAAGGTAATGCAGTCCAACTAAGTACTTGTCTCAAAGGTCGTTTTCCCAGGACCATTGCCATTGTTGACGGTGCAAAATTCCTGATTCTGGTGGCATATATTCGCTGCGAACGTCCCTCCTTGTCTGCTACACGCACCTCCAACTCTTAATATCATCAAGAACAAACATTTAAATGCATCAATAAGTATGACCTTATCATGTTAGAAGAAAGGTTTCAGCAAGAAAATGCGTCCCCGTGAATATTCAGGACTGGACTTCTTGCTTTCCTATAATGGCGATTGTACTTTATGTTTACTCTCTTTTTCTTTGTTTCCTTTCCCAGGTAAAAAAAATGGGGGAAGAAAGAATGAGACTCTACCTACCGTTTTGTATGCTTAGTTTTGTTTTTACAGAATTCTCCATGCATCCCAGAAAAGCATATGCTAGCTAGCAAAAGAGAATAATGGCATCTTTGTATCTGGTCGAACGTACAAGATTTGATGTCTCCAAGAGTTCCTTTTTAAGATATGGTGAATTTACCTGGGCAACCAGGTTCGAACCCCTTGCTACCGTGCTCGGAGTGGAGTGGAGCCTCCTCTTCCGGACCGGAATGAGATTAGTTGGACCAAAAAAAGCCTGAATACCCACTCCGTCAAAAAAAAAAAAAAAAAAAAAAAAGAACGGTTTAAGATTTGATGCTTGTCAGCTGCGATTTGGACCGTTCACATTTCGCCATAAGGATCATTTAAGGAGTGACATGGACATATGGGCATTCAAATAGTACTATGATTTGATTAGATAGGAGTTATTTGGAATTTTTTTTATATTATTGTAGCACTTTTTTTTTTACCTGACATAATACAAGATAAAAAAAAATTAATTAGAAATGTATTTTGTGAATAGTAAACTTTGTTTCCGTATAATTATATGTGAAATAAAGAGTGATTTTGTGAATAATAAGTATTTCATACGAGTGCAAATACTACTTCACACATAAGGGATACACGCTTACTTGATTGTCAGGTCAATTGATTTTGTTCAATTTTACAAGAATTACATTCATGTTTTTAAGGGAAGGTATAAATATTGAACAAACTTTTGGATCCCATATCATACATGACATTAAAGACAATGTACACAATGATTTGAGTCATGCATTTTGTTTTTTTTATCAATCATGACCGTGAACTGTTAAGAACAGTCATCAGAATAATTGTCCTGCCCCATTTCCTAACATCTCAACCATCATTTGATTTATACCTTCTACGCTAGATGCACTTCATAATTCAAAAGTTGGTATCACTCCAAGAGAGGAATTGAATGTCCTAGCATTAGCAAAGAAGCAATCATACATGCACAAAAAGACACAATGTCAAATCAAACTTTTGGCATATGGATTACACAGCCCTAGATCAAGAGATTAAGATCATTAGCACTTGGAAATGTAGATGAAACGGATAACGCTTCTTGAGAATCATTTGGCCGCAGTTTTACGAGTAAGTGTGACCCTCTTCTCTGATACATGAAACACCACAGACTCCACATCTGCAGCACAAATCATGTGTATGATCAGAGTCATAGAAACAAAAATGTCAATCTATAAACTCAACTAATCAATGGTTTGGTCAAATTTCAAAGCATATTAAGCTATTGCAAATCTTGATTAATTGGGACATTCGATCAGGTGTTAGAGTCTCCATTGGTTTGACACACAAAAGTATACCATCGATTTTGGAGAGTATGCCAGCAACCCTTCTTTCACATTCCCCACACCTTAAATCAGCTGCTATAATCACCTCTTGAACCTGCTTTTATCATCAAAGAAAAGAACCTCAGTTGAGTCCATACAGAAACACTCTTGAAGCATTGCTTTCAGAAATTTGTACGACTACCACACAAAATGAGAGAGGGTGAACTTGACTAGCGACTCCAAAAATGAAACAAAAAAAAAAATAAAGGAATAAATAGGAAACAAGAAACTCAGAAAAATTGTGTACGACTAACTGGTGGCAAGGGTAAGCATTTTGCAGTAGTGCTGAGCTACTTGGAGGAAGTAATCTTCTCTGCTTCTGTAGTCTAAGTCGACGTACTCCTTCTTGGCCAAGAAAGAGGATTCATATCTTGTACCAGGAGGCACTCAAATTATGAAAAAATTGTTCTGATCTTGGTGTTAAAGCAATGGTAGCTAAGCAAACAGCTCCACAATAATAATGACTTCCAACTTGATAGTTGAATCAGCTTTACCTATACTTGGATTAACTTGAAAGTGAGCCAACGAAGAGAAAGAGAAACAAGGGACGATTTTGGTGCAATATTCCGCATTTTGGGTTGAGAAGTCTCATCTTTTTGAACTGCGTAAGTATAGCCACAGCAAAGAGATGGAGATGAACTTCTGCAGCCCACATGTTAAAAAGGCAGCTATAATTATAACTTGACAAAGACTTTTCAGCATTCAGGCCTAATTTCTGGATCTTTTATGGCCTTTTAGCCACCCTCGGCCCCTCTTTTCTTCTTAACTATTCTTCAACACCTTGCACCAAATATTCCTTGGTCTGTGGCTCCGGGCAGTCGATTAAAATATAACGTACAAATTTGTCGACCAGCTTGTGGTGTCGTGACTAGCATCAATGTTTTGTAATAAGATAATGCAGACATGGGGAGAGATGTTTATTTTATTTTTATCGCCATTCATTCATTATCATCATCATGGCTTTCTTTAGGGAGAAAACAATTGCTATAACAAACAAAACTGAATATTTGGCGACCAATGGATCACCAAACTTGGACTGTTGCGCTTTGATTAATTTGAATTGTTAAGGTAAAGTTGGATGCTTAAGAAAAAGAGAAGGTTTATTGAAAAGGCTACCGCGGTTTTGATCATTGATAGGACAGCGAAACAGAATCAAGACTTGACATCTCAATGAAGACGTGAAATCTGTTCTGTGACAAGAAAACTGTTCTAGATCTGTGAAAAGAAAACGAATGGCAATCGCAACAAATAGCAGTCGGCTGCATTCAACGAGAATTCCTCACTTGGTTAAGAATTGATTTATTTGCACTCTATATAGTGAATTGTAAAGGCATAAATTCTTGAGAAAGGATGGTGAAAACAATTATGTGCACTCTATCGTTGGAACAATTATGTGCACTCACTTCCATTGTGCCGAAAACTTGATGGTAAACAAATCTTGAGTGTTGAAAATGTCAGAGCACCATCTCACTCAGGAACATATCTCAGTGTGTGGGACATGTTATTCTTATGGCTCCACTCCCAATTGAAGGTTGGTGGCACCAATTTTTTTTTTTGCAATATTAGTCCAATAAGAAGGAAGATGTTTTAACTTCCATCTGTAACGTTAGTCAGTCGTCTTCAGTGAGTTCATCCAGAAATTTTCAATCCTATAAACGTGGTGTTTAATAAATATGTGTTTGATCAGACATCTAAGCTTCATGAATTTATTAACTCCAAGGACAACAACAGTAACGAAAGAAAATTTTCTGTATTATGATGCTTAGAAATCATGCACAGTTGGAAACCTTTGTGTCGTAAGCCCTTGATGAACGATTACTTGTCTGAGCTTGGCTTAGCCGCTGTCCTGGTGGGACTTCATTCAGGCAATAGAACATGCAGGCCCTCTCATGCATGCTGCATTTTTGAACTTTCTAAGACCAGAATGATCATGCTGAAAGTAGAAGAATGAAGCAGATGTGTTGACTGTTGATTATGGACTCAAACTAGCACATGCATCGTGCATGCTGCAGCCCATACTAAACTAATGCAAGTTCATCTATTTATGAAACCCCCTTGAGCATGGAAAAATCCATCTCAGAAAAATCAAACACAATCGGCCTCATTCACCTAATTTTGATAGACAAATGGCAGCTTCTCATCTCATGCTTCCTTGTGTCACTGCTTCTTTAGTTCTGTTGTTCGTCCCTTGCTTCTTACCAATTGTCCAGCCACAAACCATTGGAAATTCACAAACAGGTCCTACTGTTAGCGAATGTGTGCCTCGCCTGCTGTCATTGGCTCCCTGTGAAGCATTTGTGCAAGGCACATCGGCATCACCTCCTCAGACATGTTGCTACAACCTCAGACATGTCTACAACCAGGAACTTAGCTGCCTCTGTCTCATGGTGAATGACTCTTCCATAAGTGCTTTTCCTATCAATAGAACACTAGCCCTTCAGTTGCCGGTCCTCTGTAATCTTCAAGGAGGCTTATCTGCTTGTTCAGGTACTACATAACATCTCATTATGCACAAAAGGACGAGGTTCTAAACATGACTAATTGTTTCTTGACATTTTGATTTTTCTTCATCAGTTTTAAAATTTTGCTTTGGGAGCAAGATAACCCCTTATGCATTTCTGACAAATGTCACTTATCTGTGTTTCGCTCTTGTCTAGCTGGAGACATAGCTGTACCCTTCCCTCCTAGTTCACCAACTTCTCAAGTTTCATTGGGACAAAAACAAATGCTACTGTTGCTGGTATGCAAACTAATCTAGCCTTATGTATGCTTTACAGACTAACTTAAATCTGTGTGCTAGCTAGTATATCAAACTAAAATACCGGAACCAGCTAAATACTGATGCAGCCAGAAATTAATCACAGAGAACTTGAGTTAAAAGCTTAACTAAATTATCAAAGTTTAAAAATAGATTAGTACTTCTGATAGGGTTTAGTTTCTTTGTTGTCATGCACGCTCTAACAATCTTAACTTGTTTCTTGATTTCAGCCTCTCCAATGATCACAGTATCGCCAACGACTGGCATCCTGGGATCCATCCCGCATAGTGTAGCAAATTGAATGCAATAAATCACTTGGTGGTTGCATTGATAGCTGAAATGCTCTTGCTTGGGATGACATACACTTTAGAGGCTTGGAATATCATGTTTCTTACATTCTAAGCCTTGGGTCAGTTCATAGTAATTAGTTACTATATGTCGTATATCCATTGCTAAAATAAGTTCAGCACAGTTTAATCTCAATTAGCTTGTTGTTGTGGAACTTATTAGCAGTTTGATGTTGTAGCTTAATTCTGTAGCTCTATAAATTCTTTATAAGTATCAAACTGCAAAATCTTGTACATTAAAGAAGCTCTTACCTCCTATGCCATCATGCTATGTATAACTACCGAAAGCAAAACATTGCATATTAAAGAAGCCCCAGGTTCAGACAGCATTTTTCTCTGTAGGGTCATCCCTTATAACTGGATTTGTTTCCCAAAACAATAAAAGATCTGGATACAACAGCTTTCAAAGCAAAGTTGCTATTTAATTACTTGAAAGAAGAACTGATCTTTTAAAGCTTGTGATATGGCACTAATCCAGAATAGCTATCACTGACCAGTTGCACAACTAGTTCAGAGATAGACGGACAACTAGATGGAAAAATTAGATAAAGGACAGTTTGCAACCATGTATAATTCTGAGGTAATGTTGGCAGCAACAAACCTGAATAATATGGGTGCTTGATTTGGTGATGCACCTATCATTGTATGCACAAGAAAACACTCTGCTTGTTTATTAACAGACTATGGCATAAATGCACCTTCAGCTTGAATTGGTAGTTTTTAGCCTTATGCACTCAGATGACAAACTAAAATTCTGATACTTCTTTCAAGCCATTGAATCAACCACATCTTTTGGTTTTTGGCCAGGAGAAGATCAAGTCTTTGTGGGAGGCTTAAGCTTCATCAGCCAAAAACATAGGGCAGAAGTCATTAATCAGTCCCCTCAATCGGGTATGGCTCGCTTCACAAGAACTTCAGATAACCAACAGTGTGATAGGCTTATTTTTGTTATTACGAAATTGCATCAAAACTCCAAATTTTAGCTAGAAACTGTTGACCTGTCAATGAAACAATACCCATACCAATAAATATCTTCAGTGAACAAAAAAGATGCCTCTTTCTCCAATATCTGGCAAACTTGCAATTAGACAGAGAAGATACCAAATATGCAATGTACAACTATTTGCAGTTGAAACACAAACTTCTTCCATGATCTCATTGCAACTCCTTGAGATCAGTTGAACTGAGAGATGCAAAGGCAGCATACAGGTATAAATTGGACCAGAAATAATGTGTATTTCCTCATTGAAGCTACTGAATTCTTTAAGTTTCACAACTTCAGTGCATATCATTTCTATACCAATGTAATCCAAAAGAAAACAAATAGAAGATAGACACAGAATTCAAGATACCTTAGAATTTATCACAATTTCATGTCAGCCAAAGCCAGAATAGTTATTCCAAACTAGGCGCTTCCTCAGTCGGATTAGACTCAAAAACATCTGAGCCAGAGGCCTCTGGTTCTTCTAAAAGCTCTCTAGATTGGATTGATTCCTTGTATGCTGGTGTGTCTTTGAAATCTGTTGCTCCCTCATTATATGTAGCCACAGCAATGCCACAAGCAATTAACTGCAAACAAAAGAAGACAAATTCATCATGAATTCCTTCAAACTTGTTAGGCAGTGCAAATCTACAAGAAGAAAAACCTGTAAGATGAATCTCCAATAAGACTGATGCCATAAATAAATAAGCCAGAATCAACCCTATCTTTAGATGTAATACGGCTTTTCCAGGTCCTGTGAGCTCTTGCGATATTCTTCTCACCAAATTTCACATTGAAACTATTATGAAACTGTACTATGAAACTATGAGTGCAATCTTTTTGTGTTCCAGATTCTATAATTATATGAAGTTCATCCTATATGTTTTGTATCGAGGCCTAGAGACAAGATATTGGGTGCTTTATTGTTCTCTTTGCTGTCTTTCCACACGAGCAGTGGGATATGGTGCTAATAACTATCAGAAGTAGTGATACATGCAAAATGTAAAGAATCTATCCTGGCCTTTGACTGGGATAACTTTTTCTTGGCCAGTGTGAAACATCCACTCAGAATCCCTGCATTCTTAGGGAACATAGAGTGATAATTTAGGGGGCCATCTTCTCCTTCAACTGCCTAATCACACGAGAAACAAGCACATGAATTGCGACATCATGACCTGTATAACTTGGCACCCGGATATGACTTCGAAAACCATTTTCAGCTAATTAGTAACCTTAGTTCGCTATCAGTGTCTTTATTCTTGAGCATCCTTTATAAACATGACCACGTTGACAACTTTTTCTAACTATACTTCATCAAAGTTGGTTTATATTCTCCATCCCCATAACGTGATATCATTGAAGAGCAGCTATAAATTGACAGACCTGACTTAATAGGAATCTAATCCACTTGATGCATTTCTTTAGTTGCTGCAGTTGACGAGGAGGGAAAATCTTTTCTCAAATGGGTTAACAATAAAAACTGGAACAAGAAAAAGAAAAGAAAAGAGACCTAGGCATCCCACTATATGGGAGCTAAATTATTCGTCCATAAACAAAACTAGAAAATCAAATATTGCACAATATGTAGGGAACACAATAGTCCTAAAAGTTTATTGGCAAATACAATATTCTTGCTTTTCCTTTAGATGTGTTTTTCTTTGTATTCCTTTCCATTCTGTGGTGGAATGAGTTTATTTTTGAAGCAAGTAGAACTGAATCCACCTAACTTCCTATTTCCAACTACCTCAGCTCACCATCTCTTCCCTTCCTCGTCATGAGTTGAACAGAACAACCACCATTTTAATATAAGAAAGAACAATGAACAAGAAAAGCTAGCTTTCTCCTAAACAAACATTACTTTAATCAAGCTTTCTCGTTACCAACCCACCTAGTACAATAAATTGTGCTAATGTAAATCTATTACTTTTGCTTAATTTCATCTCACTTTCGATTGTTCAGTACTCGAACCAATCAAATTAACATTTGAGCATAAATTGAGTAAATTAACAAAAAAAAAATGTACAGACAAGAAAGAATCAACTAAATTACCGCGAAAACAATGCCAAAGGCCCACAAGTACTGGATGACGAATCCAAGAGTATCCCATTGAGGACCTTCCCAAAAATCAGGCTTTTCACCAGGAAGCTCCGGCATCACAAACCCGTCATCAACGGTTACAGTTGGCCACTACCATCAATATCAGCCGTCCGATCAAGCTCTTTGAGCTTTGGCGCTTCTTCAGCTTCTTCTGTAGTTGAAACCGAGCTTCTTCTCTTCTTGCTGTCAAACTTGCCTGTTCTTGATGAAGACAGCTTCTTTGAAGCTGAGACTACGGTCAGATGATGGGTTCTTGGAGATGACAATGGTGGTAGTAGAATCGTACGGCGGAGAGGGCGTTGGCGCATGGCGTCCTGGCTGGGGTGTTGTAGAGGATTTGATTAGTGTTGAGTGCCATTTTTGAGTGGCTAGGAGAGTCTGAGCAGAGGACAGCATATGAGCGGATAAAACGAATTAACTGTTTTTCAAAGAAGATTAAACCGGTGAAACGACAGCATTTGCGTTGTTCTTTTATTGGGCTCTATTGGCCTTGGATCACCCAAGGAATTGCTCTGCATTGGACTGGCATTATTTCGTTGCATCTCTGATAGATTTTTTTGGTTTTCATCTTTTTAAGACTGATTTTTGTTATACAAAATAATACTTTTCTACATTTTTGTTTTATTGAAATTATAAATTCAAGAGAGAAACATTTTTTTTACTATGATTATCGCAGGAGATTAAAGAGCCAAGGGGTTTAGTCTACTAGTAAAGTTAAGATCTACACAAATACTTGGTGTGGGCATTCAGGTCATAGGCCTTCCTATTTTGAGATCATTAGGTTTCTGAAAGAAATGAATTATAACAAAGCTTAAACGTGTAGATTGTATTCTTTTTGGGATTTTTTTTTTAGAAAATAAATAACATAATCATTTTTGAGATGCAATATATGTGAAATAATAAAGTAGTTCGGAGATGTGAATTGAATATCTTCCTAAAACTCAAGAAAACTTTCCAAAAAGAGTATCCAAAAATTATATTACTAACATTTGAACGCGTTAAGTAGCAACTTAGTGACAACCTATTTTTAAGAAAAAAAATGGTTTTTACTGAATAAAAATTTCCATATAAGAATCTTAAACATAAACATGTAACCTTTCACGTACGTTACTTATTAGTTTTTGACAGCTTGTATATTCATGTTTGCAAATGCTATATATATTTTGTCGTTAGTTTTAATATGATAGAGGCTTGTTCTCGTTTAATCGTTTCAGGAGAAAGGTTGGGTTGAATGATAAGATGGAAATGTTTGTAAGTATAAAATCTTAACTTCAAGATCATCCACTCATTTCAATGTAGCTTCAAGATTCATCTTTGTTACAGCAATAGAAGAGGGGGGAAGGGAGGGAATCTAGCTGATTGCAAGATGATGATATTTTAAACATTGATTGAGTGACGAATTAGGTACAAGACAAGTACGATATGCAGAATTGAGCTGGAAAATACACGTTTCGTAGTTCTCGCATGTGTCAAAAGTCTTGATCAAGACCCTCTTGAGTCTTCGATATTTGCAAGCTCACTGAAGTTTCATAGCTCATTCTCTATTGGACTGAATGGTAAACGTTCTAAACTTGGAAAAAGAGAACCCCCACAGGCCAACAACGAAGTTACACGCCTGAGTTTCAAGGTACATAATTGAGATGTTTTCTAAGAGGAATTCGACAGTTCCGGTAGTGATTATCCAGTACAAATGGAGAGGAAACTTTATCCTGGTACAATTTGCTTCAAGTTGACGTACAAGACTCTCGTAAATTTCCCAACCAGTCTCCTAGAATTTTTGAAAAATCGCCCTCGTGAGTGCTGATCTATTTCAAGAAACATTAGGAAACTACTTGGAAAGTTTAACGAGTAAAGCGACTTGGTGAGAAAAGTCTAGGCTTGATTTGTGGCGTAGTAACAAGACTTTACAAAAGACTGGGACCATGCAAAGTCTATACTAAAATTTTACCATGTCAAGTTTGTCTTGCTCAAATTAGACCGCACTCCTAATTGTAACATATAATTATATTAGAGGTGTTAATTACAATCTAATCATATTGATAGGTACACCAATAACCTGTCCATTTATTTTTAATGGGTTTAAATGAGTTTTCAATTAAACCCATTTAAATGGTAAGTAACGGGTTGACTTAACTTATCCATTCATACTCATTTAAAAATAATTATATATTTAAACTCAACTTTTAAAGAGTGTTAAGCAAATAAAATTGAATTTATTACTAATCTAATAATAATAATAATAATAAAATACTGTTATTTTTTTTGTCAAACGACATGCCAAAAAAATTGAAAAAATAAAGTAGAATTTTAAGTGACTTATAAATGGGTATTCATTTATTTAAATTGGTATAAATGGATTAATCCAATTATATTTATTATCCAGTTACGATCCACCTAAACTCGTCCGAATCACCTGTTTTTACACCTCTACATACATTAGGTAGTCTAAATACACGCAAATATATAAAAAGTTTGGTGTTTAAGTTTAAATTGAGATGATATGATATGCATTTAGACCCGTTAATGTATACAGTGATAGTATAGAAAAAATTAATCCATAATATAAAGTACAGTAAAAATTATGTGCCCTAGTGTGACAATATAGAGCACCCTCCTAATTGTAACACGAGAATAGGAAGTAAGTGCCTTAACATGGTAATTGCATGGTACACTTCTAATTCCCATACACAATAAGATGCAAAAATAGCTCACAGAAAAAACTCAGTCAATTTACTATTTCACCCACCTCATTTCTTCTTTTTTTTTCGGAAACGATCACCCACCTCATTTCAAATTACTTTTTTTTTTTTGTTGTCTAATTGGCCTTTTTGTCCTTTTTTACTGTCTCTCTGTCCGTGAAAGCGACGGAAGCTAGTGGGCTGGACCTCATCAATGACACAGCTGATGTTGACCCAAGGCCCGCTAATATCTTTTCTTTTTTCTTCTTTTTTTTTTCCGAAGGAGACTCAAGTCTTGATTGATGCAAGCAGACAATCTGCAGCTACTTTGTAGTTTTCTTTCTTTTCCTTCTTTCACACTGGAGAGAGCAGTACAATGTCAGATCAAGTAGTCTAATAAATCACGCCTTGTTTCACCATACCATGCATTAAAAAAAGCAAAATAGCCATAGAGACGTGGGATTTAAGAAATGGGAAAGCATAAAGGAAAATACTCAACAAAAATTTGTTAAAAACTCTCTCAGGTTATTCGATTGATTGCTCTCATACTTGGCATGAGATGATAGAAATTTCAATAGTGAGTGTGTTTAGATAGTAGATTATTTGAATTTTTTTTTTAAAATTCTGTGATACACTTTTTTGTTCTTATATATATATATATATGATATAAAAAAATGATTAAAAAATGTGTTGACGATACAAATAAATAAAAATTAAAAAATAAATTACAATCAAACAAATCCACAAGTGTCTTTTAATATATTAAGCTCGATTTGGTAGGCATAATTTTCATTTGTTTCAAAAAAGTCTACTCCTAAAACTCGACTCTTTTAATATAGTAAGCTCAATTTAATAGGCATAATCTTCATCTGTTTAAAAGAAAAAAAAAATCTACTACAAAATTTTTTTTTTTCAACTATCCAGATAATTAGAAATCCCCAACAAAATTAAATTAACACTCAAAGATAATCGACGTCAAGGTGCAAAGCACATTCTAAGATAGAGCCCACAAACCAACACCATCCAATCTAAGGTGCAAAGCACAATAGAAGGTAATCTACTACAAAAGCTTGAAAATTGCAATTAGATATTAAAAAATAAACCACGCTCCCGCAATAATTTTTCAAACTTTTTTGTAATCAAACAATTAAACTAAGCCGAAGAGAGAGTTGATCAAGTGTGTTTGGATTGAGATGATTTAAAAAAAAAAAAAAAACTTATTTCATAAATTTCAATCATCCTTTTATCTCACATATATCACATTACAAAAAATACTACAGTAATTATTTCAAATAAATCATCTAAATAAAACTCGTATCCAAACTTCATTTTTATGGCCTCCCACTTATAAAAAAAAAAAAAAAATCAAGGTAAGTAGGTTAGGTTCCACTGCATTACACCCTAAAATAAATGACAACAGATTTTGAAGCAACCTGAAGTACCGCACATGCGGGCCAAACTGTTGAGGCTTAAGATTCTCAAGACGGTAAAGTGGTCATTGTGCTTTGCCGTTGTCTTTTGCCATAAATGGACCATCAAGGAAGTTTCCCCCAAAATATGGCGAAACCTTTCTATCTTTTGAATTTCAACTGTGCCAATATCTATGGAAGGAAAAAGGATAGACGTGAAATTACAAATTATGATAGCCAGAAGAAAAAAATAAAAAAAAAGCCAAGAAAGATGGCTTTTTTTTTTTCAGTTAATGCATGGACATTTTTGCTTCTAACAAATTCTAGATTTTGTGAATGATGCTCAAAAGCTGCCCGGTCTGTGACACAATCCAGCAATTTATTTCAATTTGGTATGCCTTTCTTAATAAATTTCCAATAAAAATAAACAAATAAAAGAAATTAAATTCTGCTTTTCATATGCATAACATATCCATTGAATTTCAGTATCAATTTTCTGACAAATCCTTTTGTTCTAGTTTCCTTTTTCGTTTGGGCATCTACCAGATTTACACCCTACGCTACCAACCACACCTACTAACATCCTCCCTCTAGCCCGAATATTCCAAGCTTTTACAAGGCAGGCAAGGACTCGGGCCGCCAGCCCAAGTCCGAATAATCGAACAGCCCATCAACCGTCACGAAATCTCCGTTGCCGCTGGCACCGTGATTGTTCTCACCGAGTCCCAACTCGAACGAGTCGTAATTCGGCAGCTCATGCTCAAACCCAACCATGTTCCCTAGCCCGTCCACGTCTTGCTCATTTCCATCTGGCATGTTCACGGCTGATTCTGGGCTTGGGACTCGGAGACGGTGGGAGGAAGGCCCAGCTCATCGTCGGAGGCTTCCAGGAGGTAGCCCAGGTCCGGCCGAGAATCGCCGGAATCCGAGTTGAACTCACCGGCCGGTGGGTGAACTAGGGAAGGTGATGACTGGATTATCTCTTCCTCGAAGCTTCTGATGACCGAATCAAGGTCCTGAATCCCCGTAGCAATCTCCGGTTCATCGAGGATGTCCAAAATGTCTTCCCGGAACGTCATCACCCCGGAGGGTCCAACTCGTTCTCGGCTGGGTCAGACTCGGTCGAGTTATCCTCTGAGTCGTGCTGGCTTTGGTTGGGCTCGTTCGAGTCGGGCTTCTTGTCCGTGTCAACTCGGTCTGACTCGGGATCCGAATCGGTACCGACTTGAACCCGCTTGGACTCGGGTGAGTCGGGCTCCAGCTCGCCTGAGTCGTACCGGGCTCTTTTTTTGCTACTCTTATTCTCGCCCGCGCACTCTTCCGTTATTTCCATTTCGCTACGGCACAAAAGAAAGAAGATTCCTACGGGCGCGCGTTTGGCTAAAGAGCAGAATGAGGACCGCGGGACCAACAGAAATAATGGAAGACAGGCGACAAAGTGGGGTGGAGTTTGTAGTTCGGACACTGTGAGGAGAGAAGAAATGAGCCCTCAATATATATAATGCAAAAAGATTGCAGAGACAAACAAGACCTAAAGATATGGGGTTTTGGGAGAGGATCTTAGACAAACAAATAAATTGTGGGAATGTAGTTGGATGAGATGTGGAAAGGAAAATCAATCAATCAATCAATCCATCCATATAGCCAAGTCACAAGAGAGAGGAAAAGAGAGAAATGAGATGAATAACAATTACTACCGGTTGAAAAAAAAAGGGGGGGGGGTTTGGGAGAGAGAGGGAAAGGCGAGGGGGATGGGTTTGGGGTTGGGTTGGAAACAAGAAATCAAAAGGGCTAATGACTAATTGTTGGTTTGTTGGTTGATAGAGAGAAAGGGTGTGTCCACTTGAGATTGCAGTGAGGGGGAAAATGAAGTGTAGATGGCTTATATAGTGGGGAAATGGAAGGTGGAGAGGTGAGAGATTTCCAGGGAGAGAGAGAGAGAGAGAGGACCAAAAGGTTGAGCTGTTGGTTGAGATGAAAGATAAGGAAAAATAGGGGCGGATGGGATGGGTTTACTTTTAGTCAAGACGGAAGGATTTCACGAAAATTCCAAGAGAGAGAAAATTGTTCCCAGTGGGTGGATGGGTGGGAGGAGGGAGATGAAATGGGAATGGAGGAGGATTTATATAGTGAGTAGGGTAAGAGAGAGATTGTTTAAATTTCTGGGGGCGGATTTGTTAATTTTGTTTAATAATAGGGGTTGCGGGGGCCGAGGGGGGGCGTGTTGGGTTGGATTAGAAATGGAAAGATGTCGACAGGCGCGTGTTTGGCGGATTCTTAAAGTCCCCTCCCATCACGTTTCACGGACATCTTGCCTTTTTCATTTCTTTTTCCTTTCTTTAGTTGGATTTTAATTCTCTTTTCCCTCTTTTTCCTGTCCCTTCCATTTTAGATGTCCCTCATTTTAAACTGCATTTGAATTCCGCATTTCAAGTCCGCTTCCCCGGGCCACTGGTTTCGGAGAAAAGTGCGGCTCCACTTTGGACTAAGGCGTCTTCTCTTGCTCTCTACACTACTCGGCTAAGCCGGCTATAGTTGGGTTCAGATCTCACACGGCTCCTCCATTTTTTTTTTTCTTTTCTTTTTTACCTGACGTCTCTTTCTCGCTTCGTGTAGGTTTGTACCTCTCTATCCGGAATGTGTACTGTCACTAAAATATTTCTATTCAGAACCACATCCGCTCTACTGTTCTTTTGGCTGTAATGTAATCCAACGCATCCCCAATTGGCACTCTTTGGAGGCTGGAGCGTGGTTCGTTGGACCGGAGGAGATTATTTGGGGTAGCACTTTTTTTTTATGTGATATGTGCGAAATAAAAAAGCGATCAAAAAATATATTGATAATATAAATAAATCAGTGTATGTAAATAAGATATAAATTAAATAATTTTATTTTTAGTGAGTGAATTAGAATGCAAGAGGTTAATTAGGGGTGCGAATATTTTTTTTTAAATTATTTGTCAAAAATTATTTGTTTATATCACAAATATAATTTTTTAATATATTTTTCTATCTCATGTACCTCGTCTCGTAAAAGGTGTTATCGTAATTATTTCAAATAATCTACTATTCAAACATTGGATTAGACATAAAATCAAAGAACTTTTTCTTTTTTTTTTGTTTGTCTAGAAGCGGTTTAAGATTTTTCCAAACTGTGCATATCAAAAGTTTGCTCTTATTATTTTTCATCATTTTCGCCGCCAACAATAAGTTTCAACACACATGACAATCTTCTAGAGTTTCTTTAGGAGTAATTAACAGCCACAATAATTAACCCTTTGATATAGCTGACAACAATAAGTTTGAAAATTAGGGACTTGGGAGTTTATCTTTATTTTTATTGTTCCATTAAAAAAAAAAAGATTTTCACTTTGTTTGACTCTCAAATTTGAATATTACTATTGGAAATTCAATAATTTTAAGGGAATCTGTAAGTAATGTAATATATATAAATAGTTGGTACCTGCAAGTCTTTTCTGAGAAAACTAATCATCAATATCCTTCAATTGTATCTGAAGTGTCTCACATCCAAGAAAAGAAATTGAATGCTAGTTTCTACACGGAAGAAAATTCTTGTGAACTATAGAGGCAGCAAATCTAGTCACGACACGTGTCCGACCGGTCTAACCTATCGAGTCAAGGGATTGAATGAAGCATTGAATTTAAGAAAGGATGACTCCGTAAATCCCTAAGATAAGTCCAATTCCTTTTGTTTATTATCCATAGTTACCTAATAATTTCCATAATTGTTTGGTAGAATGTTATTTATGAATAGAAAAGATAAGTCCTACCTCTCTCTCTCTCTCATGCTTATCTCATAAGACCCTATAAATATCATATTATTGTTTGATTGGATTGTCAACTATAAGCAAATTTTCATTTGTTTGTGATATCGGTATATTTTTTTAATTATTTTTTATCTTATATATGTCACATCAAAAAGTGTTACAGTATTTAAAAGAATTATCACGCACTCATAGAATAAAAAATTATTCCAAATAATCTGCCATCCAAACACACTCGTCCAAGGCAAAGAGGCCCAAAAAATGAAATGATCAATTATTCTTTTCTTAATCTTCTTCAAAAATTCTTTGTTGACTTGAGCATCGAAATTAATACGGGAAATTAGTCCCATATTTATTCTGTGCAGGTTAGTCCCATATTTATTCAATTTCGATTTAGTCTTTGTTCAAGTGCATGAAATTGAGAGCTCATTAGAAAACAAGAGGCAACAAATCATTTGCTAAATCACCTTATTAAAAGAGAACGATTTTGGTTAATTATGGTACAGATCGATTTCATTTACCTTGCTAGCTAGTGAGGGCTACTACCATCATTTAAAGTTACGGTGCAGAATTGGAAAGCAAATTATTCGACTAGGGTTTGTCACGCCAACTTAAAAGAGTGTCTACCCTGTCCATAAGAATAAGATCCACCATACTAGTTGCCGAAGCAAAAGAGGTTGTTTGAATCGCACTTCTTTTTTTTTTTTTTTTTTTGACAAGACCCATCATGCCAGTTATTAAAGCAGAAGAGGTTGTTCGAATTGTGCTTTTTTTTAAAGAAAGTGTTCTTGCGTGCTTCTAATGGGCGTTAACTTTCGGGTGTTTCTAATTTAATTGTGTGTGTGTGTGTGTTTCTATCGTTTACGAAAAAAAAAAAAAAAGAAAGAGCTCTTGAGAAAGATTTTAGCACATTTTAAAACGTCATATACGACGGAAAAATGTGTAAAAAAATGTTCACAGAAGAATATAAAATTATTCCCCAAAAAAAAAATATTTGCCCTTGAGGTGGGCAACAGAAAGGGTCTCACGCGTCTTTGATCCTTATAAGGTGTCAAGTTTGGAATTTGCCATTCTCACAAGCATATGGGGATTAACTTTCACATTTTTGGTCATCGAGAAGAAAAGAAGAAGAAAGCATGGCGTCTTAAAATGGAACCAACGTGATATCTTTGACTAGCATGATGCTTTTGGCTTAGGGGAGAAGAAAGGTTTCAAGTCATGATGGGCATCATATCATATCATGACTGTAGGCACCCATCATGACCCGTTACACTTCCATCCCTTCAAAAAAAATCCCATCAACCTTTTTATCATCTGATTAAGCTACGAAACTCCTTTTGCTCTAATTGGACATGCCACGTTTTGCATACAGTATTTATATATTGATCATCAAATGTAATTTATTAATACTCCTATCAAACATTAATCATCATGTTTGGTTCACAACTCAAGGGCCCCATTTGATAATACATCTAGTTTTTGAGATTTTGATCAGATAATGTTGGGTAATGAATGACATTTGTCCAGTTTTGACAATAGATGGCAGCCACGGTTGAACATTGTAAGAGTTTGATCAGTGGCTAATTATTTGTGTGTGTGTGTTTTTAATACCTGCATGCTGCTTAAATGAAATTCTGAGGTAGAAGATTCTCAACAACTTGACTTGAGAAAAGACACTGATATATGCTAATAATACACGCACTTGGAATTATATTATGCATTTTGTACAGCGGTAGTATTTTTTTATTAAACGATAGCATTTAATTAAACCTACTTCTATTTTATCCTGCATACACTAGGTTCTAAAGAAATCAACGAGGACTGAATCATCATCCAAACAGGTGGGTACACTATGCACGTTTAGAAGAAATTACGTATAATGACACGTTGATATAGACTATTTGTTTAGCAGTAATTGATTTAGACCATTTGGAGGCTACGGAGCATGGAGGGAGATCTTACTTACTGCATATACCTAGCATGCTTTCAAAATTCATCTTTCTTTATTTGTGAAAACTGGAAAGAAGTCGGTTTAGTCCAATACAAGCAAACTGCAAAAAATGGTAGTGATACCTAATGCACAAGAGGAACGAGCAAAGAGAGATCTGTTGTAGGTTCTTGCTTTTGTGTGTCGAAGGAAAGAAACACACTACTACTAGTACTATCATAATTGTAGATACTCCTCTCCTCTTTTTCTTTGCTTTTCTTTTCTTGGCCAGAATTACGTTAACCTCTTTTTATTTTTTGTTATTTAAAGTAGTATAAAACTTCTCATAGATGTTGCAGTCTTGGGGATGTTTCTTGATAGGGGGTTCTCCAGGATTCGATCCCTGGTCCCTTGTATAAGGGGTCTTGCCAGGATCTCCCTCCAAGCACCATCAGGGAGAGTCCAGGCTTCCCTGCTCCCCATGACGGTATTGAAACGGACAAATACACAATTGACTTTCACATCTATCAAAGTATCTTTTTTTATATTTATTTTTTAATGAACAAGGCAACTTGTTGAATCAAAATATTCGAATATGAACTGAAAAAACCAGTCGCTAATGCTTGCTGAATCCAGTTACGTCACTCCGGCCACATTATGTCACTGTGGACAGAAGCCAATTATTCTACGGGAGGAGGAATGAGCGGTTAAATCAGGCGCGTTGTATAATTTGTTCTAAATGATTTATATACCGTGTAACAATCACTTATATTTAATTTATACTGGTCACTCGTGATTTGTCAGTTAGAGATAGAACTTGTTATTATTATTTAAGTTTCGCTTCGTTGTTGTTAGTCGAACATGTTAATTATAGTCTATAATTAATTATCCATGCATGTTAATTATATTAGAGCTACGAAGCATTCATTATTGTTTGAATTTTTTACATTTTCAAAATTTTGAATCACTGTCGAACAAATAATTGCCATGGACGTATTGCACTGCATCACAACCGTCCCAACTTCTTGTCGCTACTTACCACCGCGAGTGCCACCCAGTTAGGTGGTGAGCACGCAGCCGAGATAAAAGTCATAAAGACAAGCTGACGAATGCATACTCCTGAGCCGGCCTTAAATTAAGGGCGGCGCGGAGCTGTCCAAGTGGGGAAATAGCGTCCAATACTGTCCAATAGAAGTAGTAACGTATGGAAAAAGGAGAGGTTGAGCCGAGTCAGCCTACAGCGGCGGGCATGCACGGCGCCACGTCTTGAGACTCTAATGACCACGTGGCGTAGCCTCCATAAAAGCAGCCCTCTGAGCCGCACGCCGCACCCCTTCGCTTCCCCACGGATGAGACCAGCTCACCCTAACAGCTCTTATCTGCTACGGAGTT